TGATGAAGAGGACCTAATGTGTGATTGCCATCAAAATCTGTAATGATCAGTAATGTATTTGTTTAATGTAAATTTGTATTTCTGTACTGGAATCTATTGTGTATGTATTCAAAATGTTCACCAAACCAAGATTCCTTTATTTATTTATTTATTTTTGCCTAATTTTAAATTTTACTTGCCATGTTTCTGTTCCATTTAATGCAAAACATTGCTATGTGAATTTTTCAGTATTTTTCATTCAAGGAATTAAACATGGGCATTGCACAGTACATTTTCTATGTCCCATGTAATGTTAATTTTTTTTTTTTTTTTTTTTTTTTGAATCCACCTATATAATCTGAAAAAGTGAATGTATATTGAAAGTGCAGATTATCCTTTCTTCCTTCATTGGTAACAAATCCTCAAATATACAGACACAAAATTCAAATAACTCAATAATACATTCAGCAGAGAGAGAGAGAGACCAAAATTATGATTAATTTAATAAACAGGACATAAGAATAACAACAAAAAGAGCATTAGAAGATTGAAATATAAACCATTCACTAAAGGGGTACACCATCAGATAAGTGGCCGAAGATATGATATGCTGAGTTTTATGTAAAGTTTGAATTGTGATAGCAAAATTGGCTCTCTGCATGGACATATTGGGGCTTTAAGCAGAGCCAGGACAATGGTGAAGTAAGTCAGGCACTTGCCTTAGGTGAATGATTAGGTAGACTGCAAAATTAGCTGTGAAATTTTAGAGATATATTTTAAAAGTAAATTCTGATAGTTATAGTTTCAAAATATAGCAAGAAGCACTGTTTTAAAGTAACGAATTTAAATCAGTAAAAAAGGATGCCGTATTCTAGAGCATATGCACAACTCGTATGCATTTTTTGAAATCAATTAACCAAACCAAATAAAATCAAAAACTAATTAATTATTGACGAATTAATACTAAAAAGGGGAGAAATAAATCATTGTTGCATATTTTATGCAATTTTCAACTCCTTATTACTATTTTATATGAAGTTCAAACTTACCTAAGACATAAAATGATAAATTGTTACAGAATGTTGAATCTAAAGCCTCTTTCAGAAAATCAATCTAAAAGTTCATGTATGTCATCGTGGAATTTAATGCTTCAAGAAAAAGAAGTTTAAAAAAAGTCTCAAAGGGTTCAGATTTAAATTGCCACCCAGAAGGGCTCTTTTCATGTTTAATATGGTTTTTCAGTTGATATTATCAATAAATATGGCTCAGCAAAGCAGTTTTAGAATACTAGATGAATTTGTTTTTAGACCAAGGATTCCCAACTTTTTCTTGTATTGACTCCTTTTAAAAGAATGATTTTCTTCATCAACCACTTTTTATTTTTCTCTGTAATATACAGCATATAATTCTAATATAAATAATCATACATAACTAACTTAAAGATCTTAATTAAACTAAGAATGTTAATAAAAGTTTTGAAAAAATTTTTATTTGATTTATCTTTTATTTTTTGTATTATTATTATATTTAATTACAAATATAAACAAGTTTTCAGAAACAAATCATTATTTTAACTGCACAAAAATTCTGTTTTAAATATTGTGATGACTGGGTTTGGTGTATTGACACACCTTTTTAAAAAATATTTAGCATAAAATTGCTTAACTTATTTCTTAAATTGCCTCATTAAAAAATATTCAGTCAGTTTCTTGTCTTCCATAGTAAATTACTCTTGACTAAAGCCTGTTTCGACTAAGAAGAGAGAAAACTCAGTAACCTTGTTTTAGCAAAAAAGTTTTATTTTGGAATATTTATCTCAGATGTTTTTTTAAATTCCAAGACTGAGTATATTCCTGTGCTTTGAATAAGACTTGTGCTTAAACATCCTCTTTCAGTGCAATCAGCTCTTCTTGTGACACAGTATCAGCTCTTCTAATGACACAGTATTAGCTCTTCTTGTGACATAAGATGAAATAGATAGCAGTTCAGTGATTATATGAGCTGTGTCTGAAAAATAAATATATAAATTTCAACATATAAATTTTCATTGTCTTGAAAGAGAACATTAAAATCTTTGAATGTATTATTTCCCATATATATATTTTATCTGGTTTCTTCATTACTGCACGATATAGCTCTACATCAGTAACCAATTAATTATAAATTTTATTAATAGATTTTTTCTAATTAATGCGATCCTGAGTATGTTGGTTGATTGCCGGTATATATCAGGCTTTTAACTCCCAAACGACCTCTTGATTATTATTGACTCTAAGGGCTCAATACCAATCCCATTGGGAACCCCTGATTTCGATTAACATGGGAATGTAATATATCTTCTGCGTATTTGAAAAGTGCAAAAATATATAAGGTAATTTTACAAAAATGTGAATATTTTTATTAGCTATATCATGAATTAAATGCATTTTGATTTAAATCCAATCAGATAAAAAAGTGAAAAAATAGTATTCTTAAGAACTGTATCTGCTACTTTTAAAGAGCCTAGTCTTTTTTTAATCAGTAACTGGTAAATTTAATTTGAAAGATTGGCAAAATCGTACAATTTGCCAAATGGCAGCAGACTTGAATGAAAAGCATTTACAGTATGACATCATCATCGCAAAAACATATTTTGAAAATAACAGCCTTTTCGGGCTAATAAAGCCTTGCAATCAGAATTTTTAAATATATATAAAGTTGCAATTTTAATAGAGGAATTAACCTGATATTAAATGCTTGCAAATGGTTTGGCTTCATGGGTGTTTTCATTATATTCTCCCACATGAAAAGGAACTGTTAAAATCTTTGCCTTAGAAAGTCCTCCACAAAGGCAAGGAGCACTCATATGTTTACGATATTAAATAAAAAAACAAGTGCAACAGAAATATCTCGTCTTTATGAAAACATGAGAAAAAATAAATCTTAAGAAATGTTAAAATTTAGTTCTGAAGATGAATATATCAACAGTATATGAAGAGAAGTTGTAAGGAATTCATCCTTCTTTATACCCTCATTCCTTCATTTCGTCCTTCCGTTATAATTGTAAGTACACCCAGCTAGCAACCAGTAGATCTGAAGTTCAAACACTAACAAGAGCATAGCTGATTTCTTTAGTTTTTTTGGCTTCGATGTGACACCTGAACTATAATTCTATACCACATGGAATTGAAAGCTGGGTCTGCTCTTTCTGCAGTCATCCTTTAATTGGAAATGAATATAAGGAATTTTTCTCCTTCATTATTTCGTGGTGTGATTGAAGCATATTCAACCAGCAGTTGGAAGATATGGAGTTTGAGTCCCAGTGAGCGCATCCTTGATTATTCGTATTTCCTGATGATAAAAAAAAAAAAAAAAAAAAAACTAATTGCTTGACAGAGTTGAAAAGAAAAGTTAAGAAATCAACCATTAAATTAAAAAAGAATTGATTTTTCAGAAAAAAATTTTTTTCACTGTAGAAATGAAAGAAATGATAGATATTTTAATATCATAAATAAAAATGAAGGTATCAAAAATTAAACAAGATAGCTTCCAATGTCCAGTTTCTAACTGGTAAAATATTACTATTATTGGGTTTAGTGTTTTCTTCTTCCTTATTGCATGTCTTCATAGTGTAATTAGAAGCACGTCTGGCTAACAATCAAGGGGTCAAGTATTCGAATACCAGTGAAGGCAATGCTCGTTTTTCATGTTTCCTGCTCAAAAAAAAAAAAAAAAAAAAAATCCAAATAACTATACAGGGACACCCGGACTAAAGTTTGGAGAACAATAATTCATAACCACCAGGATTTGCCTATAGAGTCCCCCTCAATCACTCCTTAATTAAAGGAGAATGTGAGATATTTTCTTCCAAATTGCCGCACCCCTTTATGGTGTAATTGGAAGCACATGTGGCTAGCAGTTGGGAGACTCAAAGTTTGAATCCCGGTGAGGGCATTGCTAATTTTTCATAATAAAAATTGTAATGCCTCTGCAAGGTTAGATTTAATTAGGTTGAATCTGGCCAAGCAGAAGAGGGCATCTTAAAGGAAGGAGTTTTGATATTTTGAAAAGGATTAGATTCCAGATTAATATTTGAATTTCTAAATGATATATATGCTGCAGATATTTCATTTTAAATATCTAGTTTTGAAAACTCACTATTTCAATAATTCTGCCCAGTAAGAAAAATAAAATGTTTTAAAAATAACTCTGGAATACAGTTTAATGCAGTCATATTTGAATTGAAAATTTGTGTTCAAAATATTTTTTAAAAACTTGCCAGTTATTTTTGTTATGGTGAAAGAAGCTTAAAGAAAACTTCAAATCTTTTCTTTTAAAGAAAAGCAGAATCCTTATTTGCCCTAAAAAATTTCAAATAATACCATTTGCTCTATAGAATATAAATTAAGTAATCAAGTAGATTTTGAAAATGTTATTGTCAATTCTACTGGGTTAAAAGCAAGAACAATATAATTACCCCCCCCCCAAAATGAAAAATGCTTGAATATTATTGGGATACTTTTATATTATTTCAATGTTATTTGCTAAAAAGGTACACATTTTAGTGTTTTCATTTAAAAATTATATACTGTACATATTAATTTTCTAAATGTCTATAAAGTTTTAAATATTATATGAGTTATTGATACTAGTATAGTTAACTTTGTTGAATATAAAAATATAGAGATGCAATTAATTTTTTTTGTAGGTAGAGGCACATATTTATTTCTTTTCCTCAGGCAAAAATGTACCTAAGCTTGGTTCTACCTTAAAGTGTTATTTTGTGCTTCTGAAAACTTTGTATTGAATTTAATCATACTAATACTTCTATATTGTCACAGTATGGAAATGTATCATTTTCCATGCTGATTATTTTATTCCTTTCCTGAGAAGATTTTAAATCAGTATAAAGTTGAATTATGTTATGTCTTAACACTAAATAGCATATAGTCGAAAATAACATATAACTGATATTTGTAAGAAACTAGTTATATTATGATTTGCGAGGAAATAATTTATTAGTTTCTTTTTCCATTTATGAGGTTGGTAACTGTTCTGTTAAAGAATTTGAGTCCAGCCAACTCCTTTGTTTGAAGCTGGGAAGACTTTTTCAAATTCAGGTATATGCTTTTATATGTTGGTAAAAAGCATAAAACAAAGCAATGTTTTTATGTATATGTTTCTTAATTTATGATACATTGTATGCTATCTTACAGGATGATTATTTAGACTGTTATGGTGAATCCAATTTAACTGGTAAAGTTGGTAATGACATAAAAGAAGGAAAATGCACTTGGCTTGCTGTCACTTTTCTAGCACATGCCTCAGAAGCCATGAAGAACGAAATGATGGTATTTAACTTTTTATAAATACTAATATATGTTTTTTATGAGGTCTCATGTATTATTCCTAAAATTCTTTTATTTAGGTATTCAGGGGCAAAGCTTATGAATAGCATAATTAATATAAAATTGATATTATTACAGTACTGAAATTTGAACATCCAGTATCTGGAATGATCTACCGTAATTTCTGGAAGAAACGTCAGGTTGTTTCCGTGTTTAAAACTTAAATTTTCAGCAGGTTTAAGGATCAAAATAAACAGAAAAAAAAATCCTAACTAAATAAACAAGAACGCCTGTGCTCCTTTAATTCACAGGTGCATTTATAAAGAACGTGATTTCCAGTTTGTTTATTTCAATAAATCTCTCAAAACCAGAAGCACAAAACAAAAACTAATGCCAGTACATGAAGCCAAAATGCCATATGAAGTAACCTATGTGAAAACAATTACCACTTAGCTCCATTTACTGGCTTTTAAAAATTCAAATAAATCGTTCCGTTTTACTGACGTGTATATTCGCCGCTGGGCTCGTAGGAGCAGAATCGTTGTTCTGCCTATACGGGACCCTGGGCTGGTAGGAGTAGAAGCGTTGCGTCCCGTATACGCGACGCTGGTCTTGAATGGGTTAAAGCATATTTAATAATTAAATTTAAAAAATTTATGTGGAGAAGTTTTTTTTGTGTGTTATTTTTTTAATATTGTTATGAAACATTTTCCTTTAAATGTACAAACTTCAAAATTACAATAAAATGAATACATTTATTATAAAATTTTAATTATCATAATTAAGGTATCAAAATAATAAAATTATAAAAAGGTACATGAATGTATCAGTTTCATTCACATTAATCCTGTGACATTTAAAATGGAAAAAGAATTTTTCTGAATTATGCTTTTAATAGATACACTGAGTAATTTCGGTGAAAGAGAAAAAAAAAATTAAGTATTAATGATAATTATGAAAATTCCAACTAAGTTTATAGCAGACCAATTTACTCATTTTCTCTTCATTAAGAATAATGATATACTAGCAATTATCCTCTAGGTAGAAATGATGTATTTTTGCAGTGTTCAATTGAGAGTTGTCAATGAGGATTCTCTTTCTTGAATAAAATAACTGATATTTGGAAAATACTTCAGTGTGTTAAATAATTTGCCAATTCTTTTCATGTTTCTTTTGCTGAAGCATGTTTAATAAGCAGCTAACATATATAGTTGTTTCTGTTGATAAAGTGTATTGGTCAGTCAAGTAATAATCGGGAAAAGAAATTAAAAATCTTTTTATGAAGCATATTTCTGCAAACTTCAGTATGAGTTCCTCCAGTTTTGTCAAACTATGTAAGTGTGTAATATTAGTGTATAACATCTGGAAACATTTATTGTGTTGTTGTTTAGTCCTACTGAACTTTTCATTTCATTAATAAAACTGTTTTGAGCCATTTTTTGCCTATACCCAAGTAAATAAGCTGTATAAAGCATAACCTTTCTAGCAGCATTTAACATTGTATTCTAAGATAATCCCTTGAAAACAGAATTAAATGAACTTAGTTCCAAACACTGTTAATTAGTTGTCCTGTCATTATTAACAGTGTAGTGTGTCTTCTGATAGACCAGAGTTATCTTCATTCTGGTTCTATCCTTGTAAGGTACCTTGCTTTTGAGTATATGATAAAATGATTTAGGACAAGTACACTGGTCATTATATTCTTTTGCATTGTGATTGTTGTCTGCAAGAAAAATTAGCTTTTTTAAGACATTTAATTTAGGGCCAGAATACATGCAAACGTCAGAACATCGATATTTCTAGATTATACCAATTCCCTTCCTGAGTTCTTTGGTTTAGCAAATTTATAGAGTTAAAAATTTCTGAATTTTAATTTTACTATGAGTAGTTGTCTGCTTTCCCCCCCTGTGACTTAATTCAAAAGTTTAATATTTTATATATTACAGGAAAGCTATGGTATTGATAATTCAGAATCAGTATTCAAAGTCCTGAAACTGTATGAAGCTCTGGAATTGGAAAAAAAATATAAGGACCATGAAGAAGAGTTATATTCTGAAATCAAAAAAGATATTTCTCATTTGCAGTCAGAACCTATGGAAAAACTTTTCGATTATCTCTTACATAAGATATATGAAAGGAAAAAATAATGTATACACATTTTTTTTGAATGGAATGTGTCTTAAGTCAAATTTTTTATATGTTATAGTGTTTGTATTTTTTACTAATATATTTTTGATAATTTTTTACTGTTGTATTTCAAGATAAATGTTCTAACATTTTCTTTTTAAAATATCATCCCTTATTACAGAGGTTAATTATTCTAAAATATGGAAATTTGCAGTTTTATCCCTAATGAAAATAACTAGTGTTTTAAGCCTTTAATATAAGGAGCATGATCAATTACTGTGCTTGAAGTAAACAGCATCGCTGAGGTGGATTCTTAAAATATTTGAAACCTCACTAAGTACTGTGACTGTTTCCAGTTAGCTTTGAATGTTCTGAAAGTTCATATGATATTTAACTACTTAACCTTCAGAAAGTCATTAATATCATACAAGGCAAAGTGATTATTTTATTAGAAGTAATCTACTTAATGGTTAAATGTTACTTAAGTGCCTACACCTGGTAATGCTTATGATAGCTAATACTTTTGTAAATATGTAACCCTTCAAAAAGGCTTTTCTAATTAAAACATTCCTGAAACATATTTTTATGTGCATTAGAATAATTTCCAAAAACTTTCCATATTCTACTCATCAAATACTTCACACAGTTGTGAAAATAATGAGTTTTGAAACAAATTTGGAATATTCTACACTGCATGATCATTAAAATTGTATATTTCTTTGAGATATTCTTAGTAAACATTTTCAGAGGGCAGCTACAAATAAACAGCAGGTGTTGTTTCAGCTAAAGGAAGTCCTGAATTATGCTGATAATATTGGAGGGGAATCAAATTCGCATGTTTTTAAAAAAAATTAAAAGTACAGTGAATATTATTTTACTAATTGGAATGTTTACTTATATGAGATTTTACAGCAGGTTAGATTTTTCCTAATGAAGCTTCTGTATCCAGTGGTTTGGACTCTTTTTATTAAAAGGATTGTATGTAGATTATTTATTTGCAACAAAGAATACTGAGGCTATTTGTCTATAGGGTAAGATTCTTTTTTAGAGAATGTTCTGTGAAGGTGGCATGCACTTACATTACATATATAGAAAAGGATGGGAACTTCATCGAGCCAGTTTGTCCAACCTTTGAGCCTTAGGAATAGAACCCTGGGGAAGTACAATATTTTATATTGGTAATCTCTTTACCAATAATGGATAATTTTTCATAAAATTCTGTTCTTTATTTTAAAAAGCTTTGTAATTGGAAATTTATATCTAGTAACAGAATTGAAGGAAACCACTGTAACCTTTCTCTTTGAACACCTTTCATACATGATTATCTCAGAGAGACTTAGATATCTTAAATGGTTAGTCATAGGCACATGGCTTGAAGAATATTTAGGCTATGGTAAAGCATACAAGACTGTCCAAATAGAGATGCCTTTTGTGGAGGACTTTTTTTTAAGGAGTACTGGTTTGTGTTTACATGGTTTAAGTAATCATTCAAGTAAAATAGTTTTCAGGATATGACAATTTCATTTATACCTTTTCATAAAAAATACTTAAAATTTATGTATGAAAAGACTTTTTATACATCTCAACCTGCCTGTAAAATTTTATTTTCTTTAATTATTTAATGTGCAGAATTAACCCTAAAATGTTTCAGAGTTATGACATTAAGTACATTTGCCAAATAACAGAAGTTTGCTCGAAAATAGCATTTCGGAGTCAGCATAAAATGCAAATTATGTTGAAAATTAATAATGTAACCATTTTTTCATCCAGTTAAAAGAAATGTAATTATGTTGAAAATTAATAATGTAACCATTTTTTCATCCAGTTAAAAGAAATGTAATTTAAGGGTTATATTAAAATATCATGAAATACAATATTTGAAATTTAAGTGTTTCTTGGTAGATACAAATGAGAAATTGGAGCATATACTTGTGTATTCAAGTTCTTTTGGGATAAAAGCTATGTTTCAGAAATTTATGTTCTAAAATTCATATGCATAGCTGTCTCTTACATCATTTTTATGTGGTATCCTCAAATTGTAATTTATGGAATTTTGAAAATTTGAAAAAGAACTCCATCTTTAGAACGTTAATTTATTTTCTTAGGCAACGTATTTCACAATTGTTTTTCTCAAAGTTTTACTAAAATGTTTAACTACTCCAAAATTATAAGTCTGAAGTCCTTACTTGTTTTATGAATTTTAGGTATTTAGATGCACAATCTTTTTTTTTTCGTGCCATATGTTTGCTGTGTGTAGCTTGAATGGATCTTTGAATGGCTTTTAAATAGCAAAAATGTATGCAAAGAAAATTTAGTGTTTTACTAATACTCCTTTGTTTAATATATATATGTTATCACCAATCTCTTCAATATGAAGAATGATTTTGTGAATATTGACTTACCTTATACTTCTCATGTTGCAGTGAATGTTTTAGTGACATTGAAAGTAGTTTTTCTATATGAACCTTTCTATACAGTACAAAGTCCGAAATCCCAATGTCCATTATCTGGAATGATCTAAAATTTGGACCTCAAAACTACCAACAACGTTTTTTCTTGTAGGCTTTATGCATGTGCATTTGATTTCCCCCTCCACGCATAATAAAATGTCTGGAGAGTCCCGATTCTTAATTTCACTTAGACACTAAAAATACCTTGTTATTGAAAAAAAAATCATTTTAGCATGAATTTGTATGTTTAGTAATTTGGTTTCGTTGCTGCATATCTGCTTGGCACACATCTCAAACCGAAACCTTCCACATAGATACATCATTGATCTGACGCCAACCTGGTGAATCGTTATTTATACTTTCCTTTCATCACTGCATGTTTATCAGAACATGACAGCTTGAGTAATGACTTGCATAGCGATGCCTAAATTTTTTTTTTATGTTATTAATTGAATAATAAAGGAGTATGGGAACCTTTTATGTTGACATTACGCTTGGTGATGATTACAGCTTTAAGTTAAATGCCCTAAAAAATGTTGCCAAGGAAAAATTTATGAAAAATTTCTTCCCATGTGCTAAAAATAGATTTTGTTGATGATACTCATAGACCCAAAGATTACATTTAGGGCTATTTGAATTATGAATAACTCGTATGTCAGCACAAAGAACCAGCGGCAGGGCTCGTATGGCCGCACTGTGTCGCAGAATTTAGGACCCACAGAGACTGCATCAGGTGGTAAGACATCTAGCGCTGGCCCTCAATAAGGCTTAAGTATATGTGGGAATTTATTTATTCAGAACTCTGATAAGCCTTAAGCATGTGCAAGAAATAGACATAAGTATAATAAATAACTAAAGTAGTACAATTCACGCTTAATTGTCTCAGTGCGCGATAGAAGCAAGATAAAATTTAACGGAACAACTTGTCGTTAGTCACCAAGCTCATGATGCACAGCCAAATATGTATAGTGAAGGATAGCTAAATTTAATGATGATAGCCGCTAATTTTAAAGGTTTTTGGATATCGCAGAACAAAGGTGAAATTTTCCAATGAACGGATTTCGTAAGGAAATGTGGAGAAGTAGTAAATGAAGATGATATAAAAAAATTTTTCATTGTGATCACATTGCTTCTCAATCACCAATCAATTAATGAATGGCAAAATCTGTAGTATGGTTCTGAATCCAGAAAATACCGCTACCGATAGCGAAAAAAGTGACCGAGAAGATACTGAAAACGAGAAAATTTCGATCAACAAGTTAGTCGAAATTCTTGAAACTGCAGTTACAGGACTTCAACAATGTAACTAAACAAGAGATTATGTCTGTCTACAGAATTAAAGAGAAAGTATGATCACAAAAAACGAAGCAACTTAAACAACTAGCATTGAAAGAAATGTTTAATAAGGTAAACAAATAAATATTAAGCTCTCTTTTTTTTGTAAATTTTGATACTTTTAGATCATAAATACTTCATTATTTCATAAATCACAATTTCATATTTTTAATTTTATAATTTCTACGTGCCATATTACTAGATTTAAACTGATGATCTAATATCCGGAAAAATCCCAAATCCGGAGTCGCCGAAGTCCTGATGAGTCCGGATTTCGGACTTTGTACTGTAGTTAGATTTGACATTTCTCTAAAACCTTTCTTACCAGTAGGAGGGGGAAAATGAAACTTAATGCTCTTGTTTTTGGAAGAGGGGAAGTTAGAGAAATGATATTTGTGATATAAAATGGAGCCCATGTGTATGAAGTTTCTAAAACAATCTTTCTTGTAGAAAATAATCCTCATAAATTTAGAATAATATAATATTGAAAAAGGATTTTCTGAAATTTTGGAATGATATGTGATTTAAGATAGTTAAAAGTGAAAATATTAGTTCTGGCAAGACAAACACTTTCATGAAATGTACTTTTTGTGATTGAAAAATTTGTATTATTTTCAGTATTGTGATGGAAAATTATTTATCATATATTTGAATTGTATTTGTTACTTTAATGATTTTAATAAATTGTAAAAATCAACCTTTATGTGATATTATTTTGAAATAAAAAGTTCAGTGAATTTTAAGAGAGAGAGTGTGGATTGTATTTCTTTTGGAAAATACAATCCTCTAACGAGAAATCCTTTGAATGAGAACATTTGGTATCTTCTAACGATGATTAGGCTATTTGATTATGGCAAAGCAATTTGTGAGAAAGAATGTTTTTACATCTTTCTCATAGAAAACTCACTTATAGTATATTACACATGAGGAAAGCGTATCTTTTGAGGTGCATTAAGCCCTTAGAGATTTAAGAATTATAAATTAGTCTTGCTATCTACTCGTACTTATTCAGTGAAAATATTAAATCTTTCCATACATCACAAAATAAAAAAGGAGATATTTATGTAAATTTATTAATTGTAATAAAATGAAAAGGAAAAACTGCTTAAAAAACTTCAGATGTGCAAAATTAAGCATTCTTTCAGGGGTCCAGCAATACTTCTTATTTTCTGATTTTCCTCTCCCCTGTGTATATACTTACTTTCTTTTTTTAATTTTTCCTTTTTGTTCAGATCTGGTATTTTGTTTGGTTACTGTTGTTACTAAGTCTGCATTTTGTTTCTTACTGTGTTTGTGTATATGTTTAAAAAGTTGCAAAATCTAAAAAAAATATTTTAAAAAAGTGCTGTTCTCTGCCTTTTGTAACTAGAAATGTATCACTTCCAATCCTGTGAACTCTACAAAGCTGCGTGCAGACTGAGTGTGGCTCTTTTAATTGCTTAATCTGGCCTTTTATGAAATCTTCTGTAACATTTGCATAGACATAGAGGATTTTGTCTGATAAGCCCTTAGAGATTTAAGAATCATATATGTTACACATGAGGAAAAGCATATCTTTTGAGGTGCATTAAGCCCTTGGCAGAGTTGCCAACTGTCCCGATTTAGGCGGGAGGCTCCCGATTTTCGACCGCTCTCCCGCCAACCCGATTTACAATATATTTCTCCCGATTTTTTCTTATTCTTAATATTTCTCACAATTTTTATGGAACTTGGCTTAATACTTCGTTATATGAACAAAAAAAAAAAAAAAAAGTGATTTTGGACGTCTGAAAGCAAATGAATTTTCTCTAGATTA